GAGCCCATCTACTGCTTCTGTCGGAACATTGCCTACGGGGAGATGATTGGCTGCGACAACCCCAACTGCCAGTACGAATGGTTCCACTACAAGTGCGTGGGCCTGACGCGTCAACCCACCGCCCGGAACCGATGGTTGTGCCCCAAGTGTAAGAGGGACGCGGGCTGGAAGGGTAGGGGCTCCCTGGGGTCGTCGACCGCGGCGGCGGTGTTGGGTCTGCTGGAGGAGAAGAAGAAAGGGTATTGAGGGCGAGGGAGGGAGGGAAGGAGGGAGGGAGGGAAGGAGGGCTGTACAGCGGAGCGAGGACGCGGAGCATTTTACGGGCAAGGCTGGCTTGAACGCGAACATTTTTGGGAGGAATGGGGAGCTACCGTATGTGAATCTTGAACAGAAGGGCGGCTACATATACATATACATACGACATGCATTGGGTGACACAAAACGCGGAAGTCATGGAACAGAAAAGCCATTGACCTCCACCCACGGAGGGAGTTGGCAGGGACGGAGCGAGCGATCCCGGCGGACGACCCCGGACTCTTTCCCTCTTGCACAGCACTTGTTGCTTTCTCGATGCCAGTCCCCATCCCGCCAGTCAAAAACATTCTCTCTACGCCTATACCTTTCCTCTCCCCCCTTTCCCTTTTCCCCTCAAACAGCGTAGGTCTTGGTCAGGTATTCCATGATCTCCGCGCTCTCAAACATGCTCACACCCGTGTTGGGGTCCTCGATGAAGGGCACCAAAAATTTCCCAGCACGCGCTTGCAGCTCCCTGCGCTTGCTGCTCCCCCTCGCGCAGGACTTTTGCACGTGGGGCAGCTCCAGCTCGTTCAATTTCTCCTTGACCAGTCGGCAGAAAGGAGAGGCCTCGTACCCCCAATAAATCAAGGGTTTCTGCGGAATGTTGCTCCCACCTGCCACGACCTTGCTCCCCTTCCCAATGCGCGGGGCCAGGGCGAGTCCAATCTTCACCACGTTTGCATACCCGGCGCCTAGGCCGGCGGGCGTCTCTCCCGTGCCATAGTTATCGACCAAATACTGGATTATGTCACCCGACTCGTACATTTCCTGGGAGAAAAGGGGAGGAAGGAAATTCCTCAGAAATCTTTTCATGGCCAACATCTTTCCAAAACATCGCTTTGGGACTTTTTCGCGCCATTTTTATTTTGGTCTTCCCTCTCTCCCTCCATCACCACCTCCTCCGGATCCTCACGGTCACCAGCCTATCAAGACAAGGAAAGCTCCCCCCCATCCCTGGGACGACATGAATCTTTCTCAGGCATAAACATATGATAATGAATCTATCTTACCACTTTGGTGTTTGGATCCACCATGTAAGGAAACTGGCTTTTCCCTCCGCGGGCGACGGCAGCGGGGCGGAACTTCTTCCCATCTTTCGGGCAAGGATAGAACAATACGTCCAGATCTAGAATGCTGACAGCCTCCCGAACTTTGGCACAAAAGGGGCATCCCTGAAATTCGTAAAGAATGATGGGTTGCTTGGGTCGGCCCACAAAAGCCGCACAGGTCTCCTTGCTCCGCTTGCCGCCCACTGAGACAAAAGTGTAGTCCCCCGCGTCCACCTCCTCTGTCCCCACCAGCTCGACTTTGTAGCCTTGCACAAAAGCACCGGATCCACCACGCAATAAGCTGACTGCGCTTGCCGTGGCGACGTCCAAGAATTTGTCTGGGCGGACAGAAAAAGGCTTTGGTTCGTTGATGGGACCCCCGATGGTAACAGGCTTCTTGGTTTGACTCCCCCACAGCATTTGCACGCGAGACCGTGCAGTCGGTCGGAAAGCCATGGTCATCTGGACAAGAAGTACGATTGGCGCCGTAATTGCCAGAAAGTGACGCATCGTCAACCTTTTTTGTGCATAGTTTGGAGGCGTTCGTGGTCGATGAGTACGAAGGAGCGTAGTGGTTTGGAGCAGTGCCAGAACGAAATCAGGTATCGAAAATGAAGAAAAAGCAATCATCTCCCTGATTCGTTGAGTGTTCTAGGTACTGATATTTACATGTACATGCAGGTACATGGCAAAGGACGCGAAAATTCGCGTTCACTGTATTGTTT